TGGAAAAAAAACAACTCTGAAAACAGAACCTCTCTTAAAGGGAGGAACAGTGTGGGGGGCCAGAGCTGGGGGAGACAGAGACAAAAGGAAAGCATTTAAAGATACCTAAGTTGGGTTGTAATGCAACTGCATACAGACAGAAAGAGGACATGTATACAATGATCTCTCAACTCACTGTCAATAAGTCATGCTCAGCCTATCTCATGTATCCATTAGACAATACAGAACAGGAGGGACTTAATTACCACTACAAGCTAGTCACTTCATCAGGAGCTTGCGAACTGACCAATAAGGTTGTGATACTGGCTGCAGCTGTCCTCTGTATTAAAAAAAGTTAACCCCCTCGGTTCTGGGATGCACACTTAAAACACTTAAGATCTAAATTTGGATTTTGGAAATGTGACTGGGCAAAAATGAAACAATATTCTGACATCCCATCTTTGCAATGCACGTGAGCATCACCTCAATATGTCATTCAGCTCTCATGCGCCTTTATCTTGGCAACAGTAAAGCATTTTGTGTCATGTAAAAATACAGAGTGACTGTATGTTTCTCTTTTAAGCTTGGGAGGTTTCCAGAAAGTGTTAAACTAGTAGGAATTAGAAGAAGAGAAGGGGGAGAGAAAGAGAGAGACTAAGAGAGACTAAGATATTAAAGCTTATCAACTGCAGAGAGCTCTCAACAAGTCAATCCAGTATACACAGTGTGTTAAGGGGAGGTAGCTGAACAGCTTGGCTGAATGAGTGAAAGGAAGAGGGCAGGAGTGGAGCTGAAGGATTACTGTGGCTGCTCAGTGGATACACCCCTGGGTAAACATTACAAGCCCTTAGTAATGAACTACATATTTTTGTGAGAAGAGTAATGAGTTTTCCTTTCAGCTTAGTTTGATTCACATCAAAATACTACAAATGTATTTGTCTAAAAGCCTTTTTGTCACTTCATTTTTTTAAATTGTCATACAACAGCTATTTGAGCACAAAGAGTTAAAATCTGTTGACTGCATCCATGTAAAGTTGCACAGAGGAGGTGAGGCAAGCACAA